TGCGCTGCATATTTGGCTCTGTAGGTCTTGTCATTGGTGTTCCACTTGGTTTCCTTTTCAAACCACCAACATGGGCTTCAAAAATGGTGGGTTTGCCGTTTGCCCTTCAGTCCTTTGCAACATCCCATTTCTGGGTATCAAATTCGGCGGCTTCCCAAGCCTTAACAGGACCCCATGTCCGTCCCCGTCCCAAAACGAAACACACACACACACACCCGTGGCATGGATGCAGGTGGCAAGATGATAGGTTGCAGCCAAGAGCCCCAAAAACCAATACCCTAATGAAGCAGGTGGCAAAAACCAATACCCTAACCAACCAAACTACAAAATAGACCCTAAGTGTCCATCATCCACCCCCCCCCCCGTTTCGCGCGAAGCCACGGCCTTCACCCCAACCAGCAGCACATAGCTGCCCATGGCGGTGAGGTCCAGCAACACCGCGGGCACCGCCTGAGACGCGAGAGCGCGAGAGAGACTCCGCGCCCGTAGAAGCGAAGGGAGCCATGTTGCCGGCGAAGGGTTCCCCTACTCCAAATACCCACATGTTTCTAGGGTATTTAAAAGCCCTGGGTAAAGGGTATTTGGAGGGGGTGTGCTGCTGTCGGGGGGTGCGAAATCCATTTCGCACCACCGAAGAAAGCCTGGAATGATTCGATTCCCCTGTAAATACCAAGAAACAATGAGTTCGCATGGCTTCAAATGATGTCGCGGTGAGCTTCACTTTCCTGATTTGCATACGCTACAAGGGTTGAAGGCTGATTGCAAACTCTTTGTGGCTGGACAAGTTGCAGCATCCGAAAACCACAGGATCACTCCAAACAAACAACATATCAAAACCCGTTTGACACGTCCTAGGGTATGTTCTCGGTGACATGTTCTGAGCATCGTCCAAAGTCAATGAATTATCCAAGCGAGCTGTAAGCATCAGAAAGGGCTGTTGGTTGGCGATAATTCCTCCGGCAGGCGGAAGCCCTTTGCCTTACATAGATGTGTCTCAAAAGTGAGGGCGGAAAAAAACAACCTCCACAAATACTCGAGTCCTTGATAAATGTATATGTGTATATATTACTGTATATGTATATATATATATACATATTTGCCGCATAGGCCATGTATAATATTCATTTGAAAAGGCAACAAAACACTGCTGTTGAATTCCTCAACATAGAGATAAACTCCTGAGAGCATTGCTCCCCAAGGGCCCCTCCGGCAAAAAAGGCCAGTTCCGTTCTTTTTGGTCACCTTGGCTGGACACAAAATGGCGTATTGGTTTCAGTTTGCTTCAAATCGGCTACCAGCGTCGCCTCGGTTTTTTTTTCAAAAGCTTTTGCAGAGAACTCGCACCCGTTGGCCACCCGCCCGGCTTCGCGCTCCGAGCGCCCGTGCCAAGGGCCACTTCAGCACATCGTAGGATGGGCCCACAGGCGACAGCAGCACATTGGCCGCCTATTCGCAGCTTCTGCCGAATGCATGGATCCAAATGCGTCGACCGATTTGTTGGCTAGGACAAACTAAAGGAACAGCATCAAGTCTAGGTCCTCCAGTGGAGAGGTTAGAATAAGGGTACCCTTTTTTCTGTAGTCTATTTTAGTAGGGGAACCCTCCCGCAAAAAAGGTAAAAGGGCAGTACTGGGGGACCTTGAAGTTGAATGAGGTTGCCCGATATTGAGACCAATGTCATACCTAAGCTTGACCATAGGACGAGCAACTGATGGGCAGGTTGGCCGTAAACACAACCATGTCTACATGGGCTGTGGCTGATCCACCAGATCTATGCATGCCCCTGTTCATCGTTTTCACCCAATCAGTTTGCCAAGGGTACAGTACACAAAAATAATAATTTGACTGGTGCCGTTGCATTCACTCTGGTACTGCGCAAAACGCAACCACAGCATTCATCGTTTCAACTGCTTCACCTGTGTGTCTGTGTCTGTGTTGCTTTTCTTGTTGGCCCATAACTCTTTCTACAGTCACCAATAGCTTGGGCAGCTGCCAGGTAGAGAATGTTGGCAATGCCCGAGCCTCAGTACGGTACGTTAGCTGACACTTTGGCTTCAGCTCTACCATTTGGACCAATCCCGACCTTCCTGAACTTTCAAACGTACCTGAAATTTCTGCCTCCCCTGTCAATCGGCTGGTTTTTGGAATTCGTACCTTTTTCTTTTGGCTTGTCCTCTTGTTGGACCTCGAGCAGTTTTGGAGGCATGAGGGCTGTCAGGTCCTAATATATGACCTACTCGAGCAGAAACTATGTGCAAAAACGCCCGCAACGGCCCGCAAAACGAAACGAGCGCAAATTTGAAAAGTGCTCATTTGAAAATATACACCTCGGGCACTTGTCCATTGCTCGGGCGGAAATTGAAGAATCGGGCACAAACTGTGTGTTCCAGCAGAAAAAAAAACAACGAGCAAAAAAAAGGTATCAATGGAAGGTCCAGGTGACAAGTGGGATCAAGCAAGGCTAGTCTGGATGCCGATCCTATTTTGAGTGCAACCGAACCTACGACAAACCAAAGGAAACACAAAAGTGAAGCATGTCAAGGACCCCACCACCGAGATATGGTCTTGAGAGGGCCAACTGGCCGCCCGAGGAGTGCTGTGTACTTCGAGAGTCCGCATCCTTACTGGCAAAGGGGAGTCCCATGATGGAATACATGATGCTCCTCTTACGATGCGTCCTTCTAAACCACCGTTTCAAGGGATAGTCTGAGGATGTCGACCCTGCAATTCAAAAGGGTAATTCATTGAAGCTTCCTATTGTTGAGGGGTACACCGCTCCGATACACCGTTGGGGCGGGGGTAGATCAAGCCGCTGTGGGCCCACTAACCATGTGACCTGCAGCTGAGAGGTGCTTGGAAACTTCCCCAAAATCCACCAATAGGGCGCTCGGAGGAACGAGTCATAAGGCTACAGCCAAGACTAAGGTCAAAAGGAATCGCCAAAACCAAACTCGGCATGGGCAAGTCAGGCACTGCCCAGTGCGAAAGGTGCGCATGGCGGCGCACAAGCGAGCTGAGGGTCCGACAAAGGCACATGAGGAGGGTCTGGCAGATGGAGGTTAGAAGGATGGACACCAAGCCGCAGCACCTACCGCCCGAAGTGCTCGTCAAGTGGAGTGAGGAACCATCCCTCAGGCCCCGTTGCAAGCCACACAACTAGATGGGGCGCCATGTGGCACAAGACCAGCTCGTATTTTCTTTGGTGGCCCCGACAGATTGAGTGCTTAGACCTACCAAGCCCTGCAAAGTGTCTTTTTACACGCATTTGCAGCGATAGTCTAAAGGTGGACAGATTCTGGGGATTCAAAATGAAAGGCAAGAGCTTGATTGAAATGTGGGTGCCAAAAGCCAAAGCTGGGGATGTCACGGAACGTTGGAAGGTTGCTCGAAAAAAATAAGATTGACCGTCGATTTCTAGAGTCCGGCCATGTTGGGTGGATGGTCTACTTTCCCTATGGTGTGGGCCTCAAGCTGTCAGCCCCTCAAAAGCAGATTCTTGGACAAAGTTCAGCCCAGCAGATGTGTCCCAAAACCTTGAATGTTCCTTTGTTCAACTAGCCAGCCCCACACAAACATTAGCAACTCAAACTCTGCTCGTGCGCAGCCAAATGCCGAAGGCACACGGATCCATCAGGCCGTGGCAGGCCGAGATCACACATCACCCGAAAGGAAACGAAAACCGCACAATGGCCCTCAAACGGATTACCCTCCCGCCCTTTTCACATGGAACCGTTCGACGTTGGGGGTCCTGGTTTGGACCAACCATTCTCCTTTTAAAGGGGCCGGGTCCCAACGTCAGGTTCCATGTGAAAAGGGTGGGGGGGTAGTGTTTAACCATCAAAAAGGCGCCATTTGGTGAACCCTAACACGGTTTGGTAGCTGAGGTGCAGATTGCCTCACACACACAATGTCTGAGGAAGGCATTGACACTGGACACATGGCACCTGTTCCAGACTAGCTAAGACATGCCATGCTGGGCTTTTGTCGTTGGCTCAGTTGACGGGTTAATTTTCTCCGTCAGTTTTGCGCACATCTGGTCGGCACAACTTTGATATGGAAACAACGATAAGTAAGGCACATTCTTCATGAGTCAGCTCGCGAAGCCCTGTGTAAGGATGCTATAATTTGCCCGGTTTTTGACTGTTACTCCGCTTAGATTGCCTTCCAGCCACGCTCCACTCCGAACCAATTTAGCCATGGTTGGCAATGTTGACGGACGGATGGACGGATGGACGGATGGACAAATGGCCAATGGACGGATGGACGGATGGACATAAGGACGGACGGACCTATAGGGAGTGACACGAAGGTGGCACACTGAAACCCGACCACCCGACCCGTAAGATGGCACATGACGCACTTGCCAGGTCGTGTTTCGACCCCTGGTGACACCAGTGCAAGTTAGTCGGACTGGCGGCCTGGCAATGCTAAATTTAGCATGGCAATAACAAATAGTACTGGCAATACTATTGTTAGTACTGGTAAAACTAAATCAAGTGACTATAAGGAAGGAAAGAAACAGAGTCCACAACTACACTCTCATAAAGGCAGCCAGCTAATTACAGCAAACTGAATGAATCCTGACACTGCAAGACAAAGGTTGTTGCCACAGATGGTCCATCACCAAGATGGGAAGGGGAGCGGGAAGCTTCAGCACGGCAAACAGGTGACTGGGTCTCGTGCTCAACTGGCAGCTGCATGTCCACAAATTCCAGCAACGATCGGCGCAAGAGCCTCAGCCGCGAAAACCGGAAGAGTTCGCTGAACGGAGTCCTCCCAGTCAGGTCTGCTGATGAAAATGTTGTTTGGCTGGGAAATTCTTTGGTTGGCTAAGGATAACCAACAGGAAACTCACCATTTGGGGGTTCCCTTCTGAGACAAACCCCAACAAGCCAAAGTATCCAACAGCTTTCTGAGGGAAGCCAAAACGAAGCCGTTGCCATTTGGAGGGAGGCTGCCCGGGACAAACCCAAAGAAACCCAAGGAGAATTCAACAGCGGCGCGATTTCTGCCTTGAGCCCAACAACTCGCCCTTGGCTACACTCCAGCCGTCGCTAGAGAATCAAAGGAGCTCTTCCATATAACATGTTGTGCCACAAAAACGATTTCTGCTTCATCGCCCTCCTTCTCAAAGAGAACTGTCGTGGACCCGGCCATATGGCAGCACACCTTTGGATGTATATACAGTAAATAAATATATACATATATATATATATATACATATACATGGCTATGAATTCTTTGAGGATATGTGACGCGCGGCGCGCCACGAATCTTGTTGCGGAGGTGTGGGGTTGGGTCTGTAAGGAAGTATGTAATGGCTATGTAGCGAGGTCTGCAACGAGGTATAGTAGAAAAAGGTGTTTTTGTGTTGCGGCCCCTGTTCCAACTTTTCATCTGAATGGCAAGCTCTCTGCAAGTTGACTCTTCAGCGAAAGCATGCTCTGCAAAAGTCTGCTCTGCAGCCACGGGAAATCACTGAGAGTCTGTGCATGCATCGGGGTGTGCAACGAGGAGCATGAAACCTGCCAAGAGGTTTGCTCATGTGAGGTGTGTAACGAAGGTGCGTAACGAGCGGCGTGCAATTAGCCATCGGGTCTTGTACAAACGTCTGTAACGAATGTCCGCCCTGGCTCTGTTGCAGACCCCTCAAACAGTTCACTGCCGTGTATATATATATATATAATATATATATATACACATGTGAGTTTGTATGCGTATGATCATCCATCCGTATATATTTACGTGACCTAGATGTACAATTATGTACTTCGCCACTTCGCCGCGGGACAGTTCCAAGGCCCTTGCTTGGTCCCTGGAGGCTGCCCCGGAGCCGAGCGCACCTCGAAGGGGGCCAGGCACAGGTCGCAGCCTAAGCGAGCGAGCCGGGCCCAGGGAGCGATTGATGGGCCCCACTGAAAGGAATTCGTGTTCAAATCGTTCGTTTCGCGTCATGTTTCTACGTTTCTAGGTTCCTATGTGGAGGGTTTCTAAGGTTCTATGTGGAGGGTTTCTAAGGTTCTATGTGGAGGGTTTCTACGGTTCTATGTGGAGGGTTTCTACGGTTCTATGTAGAGGAGGTACTGGTCTCTGTTTGTTCTGTTTATACCTTTGTGCATCTGCGTGCATTTGGGCTCTCATTGAGGGGTCTGAGCAAGAATTCAGGACCCAAAGGTGCCCATGAGCCCACGAGCTAATACAAATCAGAGCCCCTCAACCCCTATAACTTCCATTTGCTTTTCCGCGCCCTGCGGGAAAAAAAAACAAAACACCCATATTTTTTCCAGTAGTGATGAATGCCCTTCAAATAAAACAAGGGAAACATCTCAAAATACTCGGAAGCAAATAAAACATGAACATCACACCGAGGGCAAGTCGCAATTGGCCATCACACCTTGGGAGCCAGTGGTTTCTTGAGAGGAAATTGAATAGCAACAGATATTTGTCGAACAAAAAGCGTAGAACCTGACAATAAGTGAAAAAACGAAGCCGAATCGAAGCAGTATCTTCTGGACCTCAGACATGCGCACTGAAAAATTGCACATCTCCGCAAAGGCCATGCCCCTGCTCGAGGCACTTTCAGACCACCACACAGAACCCACACTTCCGAAGCGAAAGTCTCCCGAAACAGGAGCTTCTGAGCAACTTAGCATTAGGTCCTCCAGCAGAGAGGTTAGAAGAAGGGTTCCCGATTTTTTATTTTGTCTATTTTAGTAGGGGACTCCCCGAAGAAAGGGTAAAAGGGCCCTGAGAAAACCTAGTCTACTAGAATCATGATGATCATTCCCAGCATCGCCAGTGTCTTTTGGCGACTCCGGTCTGTCTCTGTGGCCAGGCAACTTGGGGGAAGTCTTCGTTCGCAAAACATGGCCCGGCCCCAGAGACTGAGCTTCTGAGCTTCGCGCGCCACTCGCCCTGCGCAGCGCCCGTGTGCTTGAGCCAGTCGATAAGACCTGTGGATGGATCTGCATGCGCTCGGTTTGTCAATTTCACAACCTGAAATAATATTGGTTGCTTTCTGCTCCCCTGCTAAAAGTGACTAATTTTTAGTGGTTGAATGGAAAACCTATTAGTTGGCAAAAAGTGAAAGTCCTGACATCCAAGCAAAATGCACCAAAGCAATCGTGACCTCCGATTAATCCACCCCCCGCCTCAACCTCAACAATGGATCTGAAAACCGGGCGGGGGGGGCACATTAATGGTGCATACATGCTGGAAACGGGGGGGTGGATGCCACATCCAGGCTGGGCGTGGAAGGGGGCTGGGTGTGCAAATGCGGGGTGCTTAAAAGCTGAGATGCCGAGGGGTTCCAATTTGGGTCCCCTCTTGTGGACGCGGTCAAAACCCACAGAACACAAACATCGTGTTGGGGAATTTGCTTTGGGGAGCCCTGTCTGATGTTCTGTTCATTTGCAGGCACCAGTGGAAATTTGTGTGCCTGATGGACAAAAAGGGACACACAAGCACGTGTATGACCAAGGATAGCTAGAGGTAAATCCCGTGTTTGGCTTGAACTTTATTCAACCTCATTCCTCGATTGCCAATTGATGTTAGACTTTAAGCATCTGCTTTTCCAGTGATACTCAGTGCCCAAGGGCTGGTGGGCTCTCAAACGTCTGTATCCTTCTGCTGGCAGCTGACCGTGCAATGCACACACCGCGTGTGTTGTGCTTTGGTGACCCTAGAATTGTAAGAAATGGGTTCTAGGATGCTGCGACGCTGCCCACATGATAGCTCTTTGTGGTTAGATGGAACTCGTTTGTATACTAGACCCCGTCCAGGGCGCTTGAAAGTGCATCACAAAAACTGAAAGGCTCAACCACATCAACGGGGATTGAAACGCGGCATGCCCCCTTAAACCCGATGGGTCTGGCTTCGAAATGACTAAATCATGACAGAAACTAGTACTGGTTGCCAGTGGTTCATGTAGAATCGCTACGTGGTTGGTGCATGTAGCTGTGTTCGCCGCGCATAGATTTGACTCATGATAGGCCCCCCGCACACATATGCAATTGGAACATGAATACAAAGGCTAAACAAAGGAATTTCAAAGTACAGGCTCTTCATCACGGAGCTCGTTTCACCTCCAGGTGAGCACAGAACAGCTAAACAAAATGACAGTGTCAGAAGTTTGTTTCCTTCACCCCACCCAGGCAACTCCAGAGCTCACGAACAAAAAGCGGCACGGCACGGGGATTGCAGTCAACGTCCGAACTAAAGCCCCCGGCAGCTGGAATGAGCACATCGGATGCTGCCCGCACATTGGCAGGGCTCTATGAGCTCGGTCTCGCTCCTCATGTCTGGTGAGGTGGGTTGCTTCGGGGCTAGGGTTGTATGTGGGATGGGTTGGCTTGGGGGATGGGTAGGGTTTAGGACCTTGTTGAATTGGGCAGACCATCCGTGTCAGAGTGGGTGGGTAGAGGGGCAGTTTAGTAAATAAGAAAAGATAGCGTGTTCGGGCTCGTGCAATGCAAAGACAAAGTCAAGCCGGCGTGCTCAGCCATGTAAACGCATCTGCAAGACGTCAAGCCTGAGTAACTTTATGGGGAACCCAACTGAAGGCCGCAGCAATTGTACATGGTGGTTCCATTTACAGTGGCGTAACGCTTTGAAGGACTGCATATCGCGTACAAGGTGCTCTCCTTTGTTAGGGTACAGTCAAGGTCCGGTTGCTTCCTTGGAGCGGCCCCTGGTGGCTTGGACCAAATTGGCCAAACCCCACTGAGCTCCAAACTCTTCCAACGTGAGGTGGCAGATCCGGCAGCACAAAGCCTCCTGACCCGGAAGGAGTGCAGATGTGGATGTGCGGCGAATGTCTCCCAAAGGATCCCTGGAAATATTATCTGAGGATGGATTTGGCAGATCGAGAGGGGCGAAAGTTTCTCCTTAGATGGTCCCAAGGGCACCTTAGGGGATGGAATCGAATTGGAGATGGAGAGCACGAAGAAACTAACAAAACGGCTCTATTAAACCAGACAAAACAGGACTGACCGGTACGCCAAGAAACATGGAAACTGGGACAGGACCCTGCCAGTAGACTTGCATTTTCATCAGCACGGGGAATGAGAGCAAACCTCTGGTCGGTTGGAGCTGCGACAAAGGCCAGGCCCTCCGGTCTTTGCTAGAGTCTCGGCCATGTTCGGCGCTTGACTGTTTTCAGGAAATGCGCGATCAACCGCATTCTACTTACATGGCAAGAATCGCATGCAGCCCAGATGAGCTTGCTGTCCATCTCAGGTCTTGGTACCTTGTACTGAGGTGCTCCCAACCCTTTTAACCCCACGAAAAAAAAAATACTCAAAGGGCGCCAAGGGATGGATCCATTGGGACAAAGAAGGTCCATCCGATGCAGTCCTCTTCCTCAGGCAAGCCTGGGCGAAAGGCAGGAAGGCAATCGTTACCATCTGTCTGCTCTAGAACTAGCTGATCCGATCTAGTAATCTTCCATTTGGTTAAGACCTCTTGGAAAATATTGCCAGTAGTGATAGATTCCCTTTAAACCAACAGGGAAATTTGAAAAATACTCTCAAACAAATGGAAGTAATGAAGCAAGCCCGGCACGCTACAGTAGTTGGTCAAAAATAAATGATAGCATGGTACAGCCACTGTCCTTCATGAGTTCAGTGAGACGCTTCCCCTTCAGCTAGTTCATGAAGGTTTTTCAACACCTGGGCCGAAATGCCCCCCTTGCTCACCTGCAACATCCTGCAACGCATCGGCAACTAATTCTGACTACTTCCTGAGGCAATGTTCTCAACAACACAATTGATTGGCGACGCAAGGACGCTATGATACCGACATGAGACGAGTAGGATATAGGGCAACGCTTGCGGTATCGATCAACATCGCTCAGACAGTTTCCGCATGGCGTCAGAACCATCTAGCTTGGAAGCACAGGGAAGCCTAAGCGGCTGCCCTCATCTTCATTCGCCCACAAAGGCAGGCCACAACAAGTTGTCTCAGATGTTTTCAATGTTCGACGTTGTTTGGTTGCATTGCAGTAAGCCATATCTTGGCAAAGCACGTGACGCTTCAACCCTTGGGTGACATGCGGCTACGCCCATTCTCTTCGAAGACCAACGATCTGAATCCTGGCTGAGACTGGGCTCCCGTGCTTGTAACGGCGTCATCCTTGGACTCCGCTTTCTCGGACTGGCACGCGACAAGCGAAGATCAACTGCACGCCTGTGAGGTTGGTTTAAAGGGACACCAAAAGGAAACCAACAATTTGGGGAGGGGGGCAGGCTTTTTTGACACATACCCAAAGTGGACAGGAAGGCTTCAAGAGGCTACTATCCTCTTGAAGTTCAAAGGGCATAGAGTTCCTGCGATGAACATTTGCACCCTGGTTTACCTAAGAGTGAGTTCCCAAAATCCCTCCCAAACGACTGACCATTGACTACTGGGATAGTCTGACGAAATATATCAGCAGAACCCAACAAACACCAACCTGAGCCAGTTCATAGACGTATGAAAACGTTCACTTCGGCTTAAGACGAGGGGGCTCCCCTCTCATGGCTAGTTGCTGTAGGTTGGACCGGTCACCTAGAAACCGGTCAAAATCCCAGAAACCTATCCAATCCCCCCTAAAAAGCCATAGAAACAAAACTCCCCTCCTGAAGAAACCTGTCAATTCCCCTTGAAAACAGGTCCAACTCCGACCAAAGCCTTCCAGAAACCGGCCAAATTCCCGCCCCCGGAAAGCAGTCAAATTCACCTTCGCTTGGCCCAAGCTCACTCTCGTTTTGGCCCTTGAAGCCATGTGGAAACACGCAGACATGCACCCACCCTCTACCTTGAAAACCAGCTCACGCAAACGCAAGACAACAAGGCAAACTAAAGCATGGTGCATACCTCAAAGCCAGCCAAAAGCGGACTGGCCGAGGCGGGCAGCGCCAAGCGTTTACAATAAAGTTTGGGTCCTGTGCAACTTGGAACAGGACTATCATGCGCCCCCAGTTTTTCACACGCATCCATTGAAATGGCTTGATGGTGACTTTGCAGCTTGCACTGCACAAGCCGCCTGAGCAATAAGAACACTACGTCGAACCCGGTGGAAACACATCTGAAAACCAATTCCTGCTGAGTGGCTCATCAAGCGGCGATCGAAACTGCGAGTTTCAGCACAAGCAGGATGTTTTGCACAGCCAAAAACACGGAACACCCTGCTAAAAAGAGCAGAAACGGAAGCAAGGTCTATCATGGTCTATCAGTCATATCAGACATGGATCGGCTTGACATCGAACTGGTTGATTGTTGGGCCTCAGGCAGAATGCTCTGACCAAGTAGCACAACGTGTGTCTCATAGAAATGCCCCTTACGTCGAGGCAATCTGTCATGGAACAAGACAAGAGACAAAGATGGGTGTCTGGGAGAGGGACTGAGGCTGAGCAAGGAACGGGTAGGTGGGCCAGTGACTACTCGGTGGGGACCCGCACAGAAACTATCAACACATGCAGCAACATGAAGCCTCATAAGATTAGTGCACAGCCACACATTAACACCGGAAACAATTATGCTTCTTGAAGAAAAAAGGAGGGAGCTGCTCTGATTCATGCATGCATATTGAAGGTAATTAGGAAACTGGTCAGCTTGCACCCTGTTGAAACTGTTAATCACAACGAACAAGCTAGAGATCTGAACAGCGCGCAAACTCTTGAAGCAACCATATGATCATATACATCTAAACAAACAAGCACTACACTCTATGTGGGAAAGTTGAAACGCGAGCTGAGTCCACGGCCCCCGTGGTCAAGTGAGAATAGCTCAAAGACCAAGAGCCAAAGAGCCAACGAGTCAAATTCGATGGACTTGGACGAATAGAACATGCGAACAGCAAACACAACTGAGCAGTGTTCTAAACCCAGTTGCGGCTGAAGAGAAATATCAAATCCCTTCCGCGAAGGCTTCCGCGGAGCTTGCGCGGCATGAAAGGTTCCTTCCGCAAGAGGTTTGAAGAGGGAATCGCTTCCGCGTCGCTTCCGCGGATTGAGAAATGGGATTGAAGTTTGCTTTCCTTCCACACGTCAAGACAAGCTACAATTTCTTGCTTTCGTGATTGAATCGTAGCCCTTCCGCGAAGCTTCCGCAAGTACATAAATGAGAAACCCCTTCCGCGAACCTTGCGCGGCGCTTCCGCGACCTGGGAAAAGTCAACAATTTGAAAACGATATTCTACTTTCAAGTGCAGGGGCTTTAAAACGTCGCTCAACTGGCATAATCCTCAAGAACGGCTTTGTCTTGTGCCGTATCTCTCCACGTCTCTCAAAACAACTTGAGATAAACACCTCTGATACACAACGAGCTGATGTCATTCCTTAGCGGAATAAACCATCCCACTGCTCTCACCAAGTACACAGCAAAATGTTCAATCATTCTTTCCCAATTCATGGCATGCATACCTAGCGTTTGATGATCTGGGCGAGTCAAAAGAAAACTGCTATATGTTTGAGACCAGCAGGATATGGCGGGAAAGCTTGATGCACAGGAACATCCGACTGAGACATCTCCGTGGCTGCCCTGCCTCGCTGCTGGCTGGCGGCAGGTGCTCTGGCCTGCTTGAATACCACAAGACAAGCGAATGTCGAGCAAAAATGCAGTCTGAGGCGTGAGACTATTCTGAGTGGATCCGCCAAACAAGTGTGAGTCTCCCAACATCCGCTTCCGAACAACCAAGTAGGACCGAGCTGCCGATAGAAGAACAAACGCGAAGCAATATACTTTTCGCCACCCGGAGCCAATTGCCAATTCTCGGGCATTGAAGCCTCACATCTTGATCTTAGGTAGCTGATACATCATGATGGATTCCAGCAATGCGCCCCTCCCTCTTTCGAGCGCCACTTGCGATGTTGTGAGGTCTTCGAATTCCGGGAATGCCGGAGGCCGGAGGTGCGCTTCGTTTGCCCTGCCGGACTCCCAGCCCTGGGACCCTGGGACCCTGGGAGCTGACTTCTTACACCGACGTTTGACCAGCCAGCATCCATCCGCGCTCCGGCGAAATGGGGCGTCAACGTTTGAGCCATGTTGGTCTCCTTGAAAGCTTAGTCCCGTCTTCAAGCTAAGGATAAACTTGGAAGAGCCACATGAACAAACTTAACCGTAGATGCACATATTATGACAATCGTTCACTTGCCCATACGCTCGGCTGGCTTCAAAGGGCTCAGTTTTCTCCGACCTGCCATGTGAACTGCCCACTAAGATCCACATGAAGCTCTGGACTGCTTCGGTGTATGCTTCGCGGGGATCGAACTTCCAGCCTTTGCACATCAAGTACAGACGTAAAACAAACACGCAGCGCTGATTTGGGTATGTGTCAAATTTGGGGGGCGCCCAACACATGTTGTTTTCCTCTTGGCTTCCCTTTAAACCAACCTGGAAAGGGCACCCTACCCTCCATTCGCCCACCCCCCCTGACAAAACTGAGAAACTATTTACAGTAGTGATAGACTCCTTTACAACTAACAGCGGAAAGGACATCTTGATTTCAGCAAATGGAAACAACCAAAACTTGGTTGCTGTTGACCCCCCTACAAAAAAAGTGAATAACTTTTTGGGGGTTTACTGGAAAACCCAACTTGATTTCCCAAAAAGTTGAAGTCTAAAGATCCAACCCAATAGCAGCCAAGCCCAAATATGCGTTGTTTGAGACCCCTCACTGAGGCGTTCACTCTATTCAGGGTGTGTTTCTTTTGTTTTTACCGCGCCCTCTCAATCCTAAGGTTCATCGGGTGGATCAAAAAAAACCAAGCCCATACTGTGGATGGTTGTGAAATCCATTTCGCAGCACCAAAGAAACCCTGGAATGATCTGATTCCCCTGTAAATACGTCTTCCAACAAACGTTTTGGTTTCTGATTCCCCTGTAAATAGCAACAAACGCTTTGGTTTCAACCACGGCTTCAACGTGCGAAATGGAGTTCGCAACCATCCACAGTGTCCAGGGGTTCGTGGGACAATTACTCACTTCCCATGAACTTCATACTTTTTGGGGAAGACTATGTTAGTTGGACAGAAAGCTTCGCCCCCAGATCTGTGGCCAAGAGGCTGCGGCGAGAAGCTCTGCAGCCGCCGAGCCAAGCCTCGTGGGTTTTGACCGGGAAGTGGCCGAAGCAAAAGGCGGGCACCCCTAAAACCAAACAACCAACAACCCCAAAAACCAAACAAAACAACAACCCCAAACCCAACAAAACCAAACAAACCCGAGAGCTGCAACTGGCAGATTGTTTTTGGCTTCCTTTCAAACCAACCCAAAAACGGCACCCTCACAAAAGACACATCCAACTGAAAGCCCTTTCAAGAAAACACAAGAGGGGCGTTGTACTTCCCTTCAAACCAACAACCCCAAGAACGACACCCTCACAAAAGACATAACCCTCACAAAAGACACAACCCTCACAAAAGACACACCCACTGAAAGCAAGAACAAAAAAGACAACCGTTGTATGAGGGAAGACCAAGTTAAGCAGAGGCTTGGCAAAGTAAGTCAACTTCACAGCTTAATTCATCAAACAAATCGGAGAGAATCACATCTTTCGATGCCTGTCCGGACATCAAATGCATACCCAGAGCTTCCGGGCCGAAATTTGATACGGCGGCCAAGCGGACCAAGCGGAAGAGACGTGGGTGTTCTACTTTCGGGAATTTAGGATACCATTTTGCGGTGTGTGTGAAAGGAAACCAAACGCAAAGCCCTGAATTTTGCTTTGGAGGGGAATGGTGGGGAGGTCTCCTTTGTTGGCACATACCCAATATGAACATGAAGCTGTCTGTGCCTTCAAATGGCAGCTGCTCAAGCATCCAGAACAAATGTTTCTGCCGTCAGGGATGTATCTGTCCGATGCCAAGTAAAAGAGCAGCTAAATCAACAAACCAAACAACCACCCCAGAGTCCATGCCTACGAAATATTGGGTAAAAGCCACACATTCTTCCAGCCTCACTTGAGCAACTCATGTTGGATCTTCGCAACCAACAGCAAGTCCATTCAATGAGTGTAGTGTTGACCCATGTTGACCCCATAAATCAAGCCCAGTTTATTCATAGGGGGTGTGCCAGGCTTTGGTGGGGAATCATCACTTTTGGAGGGGAACACCCCCGCTATTTACAAACTGGGACTTATCAATATGAGGTCAACTGACATTAAAGGACTGTCAAACCGTCATCTCTCTTGAAAAAGCTACCCGCGGGCCGAAGTCTGCGAATCTGCAGGCAGCCTTCGAAGTCATAACGCCTGCGAGGTGCTCAACGTAAATGCGGGCAACAGGGACAAGCTGAATCAGCGCCCATTCGAGTGACACTCGAAACCTGGTCTTATCATCGACCCAACATCATGTAAAGAATGTGTGGGGCGGCCGGAACCGTGCCCCATCAGCCTTCACTGGACGGGTTTGATTGTGGCTCCTGTGCCGAAGATCCAGAATGTACATCTCACGAGTACTGCAATCTTGCATCAACCGGTGGCAAAAAGCCTTGCAACGCCATGCGTGCCCAAACAACCAAAGGAGACTGGAACTCCAGACGTGTTCTTTCGATGTAAGCTGCTTAAAACAAAGAGTAGTATCGGCGTCCCATAGTATGGGACTGAGGCAAAACACAAATACTGCAGAAACGCTGCTCATGGCAGCACATGGTGTGTGGATTGGCATAGCTCAGCATGCACTTCAATGATCAGTGGCACAAACAGCAGTCTCAAGTGATCTCCTGGAATGAACTGTCCTACAGGGTGCCACTCCAAAAGGGCAATTGTTCAACACGCGCTTCGACAGGTCGTGCCATCTTTCGCGGATTGCGAGCTACAGTCTTCCAAGTATTTCGTGGCTGTTGAAAGGTGCTTGGACCCTTAGTGTTGCTTGTTGCGCGTGCTTCAACCCAATACCCAGACCCTTTCGAGGCTGGTTTTAACCCACCTGCTTGGGGTTCCCCCAATTCTGACGCACACCCTTTCTTGCTGGTGCTCCGCAGGGAATGAGGGAATGACCGTTAGAAACCATTTCTTGTGGTTTCCTTTATGGGGACCCAAATTCCTGGGTAATTCCCACATTCCCTACTTCTCGCACATGCTCAGCTTTTGGGGTCTGCAAACCTGGCTCCAGTCCACACCTCTCCCTCAAAAACGCGAAGGCCAAAGCACGCGCCGCTTCGGCGCCTGCAAGTGGATGCCTCAGCGCCGAAGTTGAAGGGCTCCCGCATGACCTGGCGGGTTGAACCGAACCGCTCGCGGCGAAATTTATCGATTCTGATCCAGTGGATGGCACAAAAGCAGCAAAGCTTTATGTCCAACTAACATAGTCTTCCCAAAAAGGATAAAGTTCATGGGAAGTGAGTAATTATTTCAAGAACCCATGGACACTGTGGATGGACAACATCCATTTCGCTAGATGGTTGGTCCCAGAAGAGGGTGTCTTCATTGAATTTCGGTATGAGGGCCGATATACATCCTTGAAGAAAACAACCTCGTAGAACAAACAAACTACGTGTTTGTCATTTAACTGAAGTGAACAGAAACCGTCGTCACAGAACCTGGCACACACACACACACATACAGGTGTTGCTTCAACCAGTTTCAGCCAAGTAGAACATCCGTTGCTGGTTCAAAAAAAAAATGCCCCAACCAGTTGTGTCTAGTTTTAGCCCACGGCGCCAATCGCGAACGTTCAAGTGTGGCAAACACACCTTCGGCACCAAGTGCATGCAGGACTCCCCAAATTGGTGGGTTGCCCGTTGGTTTCGCCAAACAAGGGTAAGCCCCCAAAAAAAACTCATGCACCAGGCTTTGTGTCAAAATACGGACCTCCCAACAGTTATGGATGTTTACTTGGGTTTCCTTTAGACTCCCAAACAGGCAGCCTCAAAACAAATGCGCAAGCGTCACTGAATCAAGCATCCGGCAGTCGCCATCAGATCACTTGAATGATGGCAAGTCGCAGGCAAGGAGTGGGTTGAAGCCTCATGTTGCAGTCTGATGAAAACACGGCGTGTTGCACATCGTGCTCCTGTTGCAGGCACAAACAAGTAAACGCAGTACGACGTGCGGAGTACTGGTTTTGAACATCTCAGCGAACAGAGCTGGCAGCGAAGCAAAACAAATGTCAAAAGTCGTATGATTAGTTGGAGAAGAAAATTATGAACACGCCTTGATACAAGCGCTTCCTCTCTTCTCCCAAACCTTCAGTGGCCGCCGGAAAACGGAAAGGCAGCACTAGACGTCCGGGTCCTCAAGGTGCTACTTACATACCATATCTATGCCCAAATGCGCATAACCCATCAGTTCTGCCAAAAATGGGGTTTGCCATGGTACATACCTCGCATTCCTTCCTACTAGGGGAATTCTTGGCAGACTTTTCCTTTGGGTGGCTTTCTTGTCCAATCGCTTCGTGGTTCCAACTTGCCATAGCGCCTTGGATTTCCCCGCGGAAATTTTGCAGGAATCGGCCTGGCCATCGAAGCGTGTGGCCAAACTCGAAAGGCGCCGCAGCAAGGTGCTGAGGCGCTGGGACAGGTAGGCCTCAGGCCGATGTCCAACTGACCCAAGTTGTTCAAAGTGAACCCCGGAAATTGAAAGACGCAACTGGGCTAAAAAGCGAAGGAACCAGATGGCTTCCTTACTTTTGCACAGCTTACGGCAACCGACAACCAGCCCACGTTCACTCACCAGGAACAGGCGCCTGTGTGCACCTTGCCATGCTGATTCTCGCCGATCACAGCAAGGGGACAGGACCCCGCAGACTGATCTGACCCCCCCTCCAAACAAAAGTAATCCCACTTATTTCTTACTGGGTGTGAAAGTTCAATAAGGGACCCTTTGGTGGACATCGTCCGGGTGGGGATTCATGTCGACCCACCACTTTGGAGGTGGTTCCCTCTTAAATTTCACAGCCACTTGTGCGAAGCACGACAAACACCCAGTTTCAACGGTTCCTAAGTGGCAAGTCATCTGCACAAATATCTATCATTCACCAACCTGCAAGCCGGAAAAACAAAAGCAAGGGGCCTTCCAGCTCGTCTTACGCCAGATGAGCTCGTTGTACAGAGTGCGGAAAAAGGTGTTTCTAAGATAGTCTGGGAGTGGGGAAGTGGAGAGCAACCATGGTTGCAAGGAGTTCAACTGGCGGGGGATTGGAAGTTTACTGGGCTCGCCGACCACTTACCTATATTTAGAGCATCTACAGCAAGGAACTTGAATGGCCTTCAAAGCTCAGTGTAGAATGTGTTGCCAACTTATTGCCAACTGATCATCCCGCCCACAGCTGTCGCTTTTGTTCATGCCCGGGACTGAGGCAAGAGTATACGTAGGAAATATCGGATAGAGTGCCAACATTGGCGAAAATCTTGATGTGGACAGAGTCCGTATGGACCACAATCCTTCACCCGGCAGACGCTGTCATTATCAACAGCTGAGCAGAAAGACAGTGCCACTTTGCAACTCAAACGAATCCAGTAGGTGGATCCTGGTGGCCGGCCCTGGAGCCATGTCTCATTCTCCTGCCGTATAGAAAATTCGAGATGGAAACAACTGCAAAGAATCAGAAGACACCCTTCTCAAGTGTCCTCTTCTCTTCGCAGATCGGTGGCCTGCACAATGCCACCAGAGTGCGTTCAATCTGTGACCTTCAAAGCCAACTTCTTTGTCGAGATCAGATCAAAGCAGAAGATACGTCAAATGAGTTGCCCGGAAAACAACTCCAGACTCCGCGTCAGCCGAGGCCTCCTTGTCACATTGGGACTCTTGATCTCACATGAAAAGGACTGACACATCTGGTTGTCATCTCCACGAAAGGCTCACAGGCTTCGTTTAGCGCTGATAGAAACAATAACAACACGCGTCAGTTCAGAGCCGGAGACCAAGGGACCTAAGCCAAAAAAAGTTCTTCACTGCCATTTCATTGTTCAGAGCACTTGCTGCACTGCTGCATCGGCAGTAAACCAACCCCCTGTACACGCTGAAAGTCTGGAACTCAAGGACTCAGCGCTTCACACGGGCAATTTGCTGCTAACCGCTGGCCTGAAAACCAGTCCAACAACCCCCACTCCATGCAGGAAGGTGTAATTGAATCAGCTTCCTACCTGGACGGGTGTCGGATTCACGTAGCTATCAACGTTATCATTGTTCTTCTCTTCGGTCGCGGGCTCCGGGTCAGCAGCGTAAGTATGCAGGACTCGTTGTCTTCCACGAAACAAAGAATGCAAACATCACGATTGATACTATTTTAGCGCTATCTTGCTGCAACTGAACACCAACGATCCACTGTGTGGCGCCATCTGTACCGCCATATCGGCTGGTTGGAGAGATCTAGTTGCAGAAGGATCACCAAAAGAGTAAGAATGCAACAGCAGGACAAGGGCGGCGCCAGCTGCACACAAGGCGCGCTGATAAATTTGATCCGCCGCTTGCACATCCGCTGAGAACAAGTCTTACAAGTCTGGTCAGACTAAGGTCCGCCTAGGCGCCAAACAATTCCTGCACACGTGGGCAGCAAGTGCAAGCATGGCCACACCCTCATGATCCTAGACTCATAAATACAATACAAACTGCGTTTCAATCAACATATCGGATGCACCTGTGTATCGATTCAGAGGAGTTTTTCAAGTGCCAACGCCAGGTCGGTGCACCTGCCTATGTTGTTTTTGTCAATCCTTCGAGCCTTCAAAGGTTGCCCACGCAAGTTTGGTGGATTCGTGCGCAAACTTCAGCTATCGTCTGGATTGTTCAGAGTGTCTAATAAATTAAACACAATGTCTATTACCCAATCACACATGTGCGCAAACCTTTGTGGTAGTAAAATGACGGAATTCGCACACACACACACAGAGGCCGGCAAGTTGCGCACAATGGCATCTCTCCACATTCCAATTGCTCTCATGACCCGTTCTTTGCCGTTCTAGAGCTTTTGTAGGACCGGTCTTCGTCAGATCTGAGATTCTTCAGACGGCACCAGTTGGCATGCGCAGCACTTCTGTCAACATGCATGCATGCACGCATACACGGACGCACGCACGCACGCACGCATAGATGTAAGCATGGCATGCATGTATATATGTTTGTATGTATAGGTATGCAGGTATGCAGGTAGGTACGTACGAATGTGCAATGTATGTATTGACGTATGAATGTATGAGGTAATGAATGTATGAATAAGGGATTGTATGTATGCATGAATGTGTAAAGGTATGAATGTAGGAATGAATGAATGTATGATAAGGAATGCACGAATGTAAGAATGATGAGTGGGAACACAGCGCACTCCTTGATAATCCTTGGCAACGTCGGAGTCAATGTGATGCGAGGTACATGAGCCTTGTCCAATCAATCTGGGTTCCGGTCCCTGGTCTGCCTGTGACAATGTTGGATGAAATCCATTTCGCACCACAGAAACCCTATGCTGATTCCCCTGTAAATGCCAACAAACAGTGGTTTCCCATGGTTCATAGTGGTGCAGGATGTGTCCACCCACAGCATGACTAGGAAACACTAGACATCCCGCGCTGCTGATTGTCGTAAACTCAATATGCTCATGGCGTGTTAATATGTCCTGACCGTCCCTATGCAGGTTGCGGTACAGTTGCCTCACTCTGCTTGCACTGCCAAAGCAAAACAATGGCTTCAACATCTCCAACCAAAGAATCAGCCCAATACCAGCACAGCGCCAAGTAGCCAACTAAAAAAACCACCAATGAGCCAACATGCAAACCTATACTAGGTCCTCCAGTAGAGAGGTTAGAATAAGGGTACCCTTTTTTCTGTAGTCTACTTTAGTAGGGGAACCCTCCCCCAAAAAAAGGATAAAAGGGCACTACTGGTGGGACCTAGTATACAGCCACAAATAAAACAAACACTCAGACAGCCATTCTTAGCAGGGATCCTTCTTTCTAGCAAACCTCCGGACACCCAGGGGAAGCGGCCGGTTTTTGGAATGAAAAGAATGGTTGGTGGGGAATCAACCCCCAGAACACCACAACACATCACCGCCGGTCCTATGCGTAGGCCAGCTCTGGCTTGGGGCCAGTCCACGCGACGTTGAAGCTGAGGCTGTCTGCCTAGGTCACCCCGAGCAAACCTGGGAGGTCTCTCTGAAACTTGAATAAGCAACTCTTGGGCTGGAAAACCGGGTGAAAACCCAAAGACGGCAGTAAACAAATCCAAAATAACAACATGACAAATTTACATTCACACCCCCGCGGCCCCTTTTGAGGAACCGAAGGTAAAGCAACATGTCATATTCAAAAGCTTTTCCTTGAGCTGGGAAACCAAAGGTGTGACTGTGGGAAACGAAAGGGAAAAAGCCAGCTGGGAAGGGCTTGTCTCCAATTTCAGTTTGAAAGAACCTTGGGAAAGCAAAACTCAGCCCTCCCACCGAACACGGAAGACGGACCTGTTCGAAGCCCAAGCATTCAAGCAAGAACCAAACACTACAGCCAGCACGACATCATAAAATCCGCAAGGGCAGCAACATCAGCGACAGCCCCTAAATGAAGGTGAACAATTTTGCGAGTAGCTTGCGAGAATCCTGCAGTGTTTTTGGTAACAGGATTCTGCCCGCCTGCCAACCAAACACAGGCCAACTGGGTCCAAGTTGTGTTGTGAATGCAGCCGTGTTTCTAAGGGGCACTGCTGACATGCTTGGATGTTGCTTCCCTTTGCAACCAGACCAAAAAGCTCAAACGGCTGTTGCTTTGCTCTTTCACGGAACATGAAAGCACGCAGGTCCTTTGCTGTCGAAAATAGGCTCGCTTTGTCCCACTCTCGCCCTCTCGCGCTCTCTCGCTCTCTCTCTCTCTCTCTCTCTCTCTCTCTCTCTCTCTTTCTCGCTCACTGTTCATCTGTCTATCCGCCTGTGAACTTGCCTGCCTGGCTCGCAGGCTGGCTGTCTGTCTCCGTCTGGTCCCTCTCTCTCTCTCTCTCTCTCTCATCTCTCTCTACTTGCCGGTCAATCTGCCTGTCTGCATGCTTGTTTGTTTGTTTGTTTGTTTGTTTGTTGTTTTCTTTGTCTGCTTTGGTTCGATTGCTTTCTGATGACTTGATGTTTTTGACTTCCCTTCAAGGCGTCCACCTGCCAGTGCAATCCTGCCTGCTCAAGACCGGGCGGAGGCTGCAGCCAAAGTCCTGCGCAACGCTGCTTCGCGGCAACGCAACTTCGCAAGCGAGTCCGCCTCACACCTCCCCTCCCCCCACCAAAAAGTCAACAAAAAACAAACAACAAGCCGAAAGAGTCGCAAGCTTTTCCGGCACCTTTTCAGCTTTCAAGTTGTCTTCAAGTCATCCCTGGAGTGAAACTTCGGCCCTTTTTTTGATCCCTTCTGCGAAAGGAACGCTAATACACCTGTGCCGACGGTCCCCACTGTCTGAGGATTGCTTCCATGTCGGAGGTGTTCGGAGGCACGAAACCTCAAACCTGAAGGCTCGCCCCAAGAGGTCGCTTTACAATCGATTTACCTTCAAAGCTTGCAATCTTTGCACTCACGCTTGCTTGCAACCACTTGGCGTCACAATCAATCATCTTAGAGTTA